GTAAGGGGGTGATATTCCCCTCCATGCTGGAAAAGATTACAAAATGCCAAGCATTTGCACTTCCCATGCTTATAAGGAGAGTTGATGAAACTACGCCCAGTAAGCTCATTAACTGTACTCAAATCACATTATAAGTGCTTCATGTAAGACAAAGATCAATGTGTGAATTGGAAGAAACCTTCCAATTTTTGCAACCTGCAGTGACCTTTATGTATGGCTAGTTTCTGAGGAATGTACCCATGAGTAATATTCTTAATGAAATACCCTAATACTAAATGCTCTAAGTCTCCAATCCACTGTAACACCATGTTTCCTCAGGAGGAATCTGAGCCGCGACGGATCCTATAGTTTCCACTCTCCTTTGGGAAAAGAAAATCTGATCACCAAGCACAAAAAGATTTTTCACCCATGGGCAATGTACTGAAGGAACCATAACATAAGGTACTTAAGATGTATTATTTGGACACGTGGATCTTGTCCCTGTATCTACTATGCTGATTTGAGCTGGTGAAACCTGTGGAACATTTTGTATCCTTCCAAGGCAGCAGGATGGTGGAGGATTCATAATGTTAAGAGATGGATACACACATGACCACAGATTGTCCTTGGTTGTTATCCCATGACCCTTTAATAGTGTTAGATACAGGGAAGAAGTATTGTTCAATGTAGTGTCCCTACATATTCAGGTGCACATCTAATAGCAACTCATTTTTATGAACAAAAAAGGCATGCCCCCACAGAGAACTACAAAACTGCTAACAATTTCATGGTTACTTTGGTATGGCCAGCAGCTTCTCCAAGCCATATTCCAAAAGATAACTGTCAGGACAGCATCCAGAAGTGTAAAAACATGTTATAGTTGGAGAGAGCTTGTCAGGAATGATGGATGAACATTCCACAGCAAAAATGTCAAACACAGGAGATGTAATGAAAAGTTAACATAAGCCTTTTTTTTATTTGTGATCCAAAAAATTCATACAAGAAAAGAAGAATTTCATCAGCTGTGTTAAGTTATAAGAATGATGTGAATTTTTCTTCAGCCAACAGCTAATATTGAGATAGGTTTTACCTCCAATATTTCGATGTCTATCAGGACATCTTCTTCAGGGAATGAGGCTATCCAGGTGAATAGCCTCTACTCAGGAGGTGTACTTACCCCCCCCCCTCCCATTTAAAAATTAAAAAAAAAATACAACATTAACTTGTACAACAAAGCAGGGTTCACCATCAGGAATGCAGTAGTAAGTCCCAAAGACCCATTAGACAACAATGAAAAGTGTCGAGTTGTCTATAAAATGGAATGTGAGGGGTGTGGTGAGAAATATATAGGCAAAACGGGAAGATCAGTGTCGGAGAGAAAAGCCGAACACCAAAAATCGGTCAATAATAGAGACAGCAAGTCAACATTAAGCCAGCATGAGGAACAATCCGGACATAAGGTATCAAATGGTCCTATAATAGACAAAATCAAGGTGATTGACTGTGAGCCAAGGGAAAATTACAGAAAAGTCCTAGAAGCCATCCACATCAAAAAGACAGGGGCCAGTCTCAACAGAAATGATGGTGCCATCCTCCCTGACCTCTACCTACCTTTCCTAAGACAATAGGGGGGAGCAAGTACATCTATCCCTGTGGGGAGTCTCACTAGATTACTGTCAGCTTTGCCGGCTTAAGCGTCTGTCCCGCATACTAAAAGCTGTAAGGGGGTAATAAACTATGGTGCGCGCTCCGCTGACTGCAATTTAGCATGAACCCCAGGGAGTTAGGTCGATCTAAATCTAAATCTCTGGATCGATCTAAATCTCTGGGAATGCACCCTTAGAAACATCAACAAATAAATCGTTTACTGGTCACTATGTGGACTTGGGTTTTCTTTGTGCGACCTTATGTAAATTAAGCCAGGAATTTTTAGATTGCATTATCCACTAAGTTATTCGAAATCGTAATGTCCTATTTCAAGCCCACACTTGAATTAAGCATCCTAAATTTTTAAAGTTTACGACATTCACTCCATATATAAAGAAAAGTTCATTATATGCCATCTAGAAATGACAAGTGTTTGATGTCATCTTTAAAACCTATATCACTGCCACCTGAAAAATATACTTCATTAAATAAGAGTTATCAACTATCAGTAAAGTACACATGGTACCATTGATTTGTAAGGGTAAGGGGTATATGTCAGCCACATTGGATTTTTTTCTAATGAAAAAGGCCTAATCATATTCTTTACAGATATTAAAATGTAGGAAATATTTAAGAGAATTTATATTTCTTGAAATATTGCTTTTACCATGGTTGAAATAATTTCTAGATTATAGAACATGTGCCTCAGTTGCGAAAATTGGTAAAATAATGGCAGCCATCTTGGATAAAGAAGCCATATTGAAAAAAAGATATGTTCTTAGCTTTACCTTTGAAAATAAACAATTGTCCTTTACCAATAAATTGCAAAGGGAACATGAAATATACTTCATTAAAGAAGATATTTGATCTTGCAAATAAGGTGGATGCTGTGTGCACCTTTAGGCCATAACGGTCGGGGTGCATGGTAGCCATGTTGGATTTTTTCTAATCATAAAGCTTCATACTGTACAGAGAGAGGAAATACAGGTCATACTGTACATAATTTATATTTGATGCTGTGTTGCTTCTCTCATGATTGAAAGTAATTCTAGATTAAATAGAACATGACTTAACTGCAAAAATTGGCAAATTTTTCGCCGCCATCTTGAATAAAGCAGCCATCTTGGGTCAAGACACCATCTCAAATTTACCTTTAAAATTTAAAACAATTGACCTATACCTGCATATTGTAAAATAAAAATAAAATATGCTTCATTTAATCAGGTATTTCAACTTTGAAAAAGATATACATTGTGCTTCTGACTCATAAAGGTGAGGGGTGTGTGGCGGCCAAATTGGATTTTTCTCTTGATCAAAAAGCCTCCATAGTGTATGCAGACAACAGAAATGTGTGAAATATTATAGAAAAGCTATATATGATGACAGTTTGCTGATATCATGATAAAAAGCAATTCTAGATTGAAGAAAACATGACTTAATTGCAAAAATTAGTGAAATATTGTCCGCCATCTTGGATGAAGCGGCCATTTTGAATCCAGTTGTCAAATCATTGCTACAGATCACCAGGAAGTACATATTTCCACAATATATACACAATAAAAGTATTCTACACTTCAGCAAAGAAATAGTATTAATCACTTTTCATAACTGATGCTAATTCTATGTATTTACCATGGATGGCGGCCATCTTGGATTTTTGGGCACTTTCGCAATTGAGCCCATTTGTCCAATAAGCAAATTCATAAACCCCAGGTATCAGGCTCTCCAACGATATGTTCGAAAATTTTATATCATTAAATTTTTTTTACTACCCTTTTTTGAAGGCTTTTGGAGTTTGGCTCCCCTACTATTAAGGATGATGTATGGATAATGGAGTAAGCACCAGTGGTAGGTCTTCCTAAGTTATAACTTAATTTATCACCCAGTTGAAATCGAGTTTTGGGAGTGACGGAGGCTTGCAGACTGCCTATCGCTTCTGGCGTCCTAGTTTCTTACAGCTGTCCGTCCGTCCGTCCATTCATCCATTCATCCATTCATCCGTCCGCCTTCCCATCTATCTATCTATCTATCTATCTATCTATCCAATCACCCCTCCATCCATATAAACATCTATTGGTCTGCTTGGTTTTGTATTTTTTGTTCGTGCATGTTTTCCCATCCATCCGTGCTCTGACCGCCATAAATTGCCCCCGCCCCATCCAAACCTCATAAGTCCCAGCAGCTTGTTAAAAAGGAACATAGTGAAATGTGTTGCTTGCACACTCTGTACATGTGCACTTTACTGTAAGTTGCCGGCGTTGATGCAATTCCCGATAGTAGACGTAATGGCGCGCATCAGTTGAGAGTTTTCACACCGTGGCAAATCCTTCATCAAATCTGACGCACCGTACTAACTACACCATTAATTGAAATGTTGCGTCTTCACATCGACGTGATGTCTATTTCTCTTAGACTGAGTGCATTTTCTTTATTTCCAACGAACACGTTTTTTTATCTTTTAAAGAAATAGATCAGCCTTTTCAGGGGAAACTTACACGCTGAAAACCATCACAGACGGTGGTTCGAGACTCCCCTAATTGCCCAGTGGAAGACAGACGACGTCAGTGTCATACCACGTAATCATGCAAGAAAAATAAAGCTAAAAATATCTCAGAACCACCAATTAATCTCATTACAACGATCAACCATATCGGAGTCGTGACAAGCCTTTCCAGAGCAGGAAGCAGATTTTCATTTTTTAAAGATCTAAATAAGCCTTGAGACAGGAAAAGCGCAAATAGTTACGTACATGTAGGCCTACTTATTTCTGCAGCGAATACAAATATGCATGGTGAGAAGGCCAACTCCTCACTTCGTCAAATCTTCGTGAATCTTCCTTGGCGCTTGTTTTTTTTTTTTTTTTAATGTTTAAATGAAAAATTTGCAGTCTAATCGGAAATCAAATTTCATGCGGAGATGAGGTGTATTGGGGTGGCGGTAGGCGGAGAGGGGGGGTGAGGGTGGGGGGGGGGGCGTCTGTCAGAAATGGCCTAGATGGCACTATTTTCTCTTCTTCAGCACGGGTATGCCTTTTGTGTTTGGCTTCAATATTGAACTCCAATGTGTGATTTACAAAGTCGCATTATATATTGTTTGTTTTTGATTGTGAGTGTGTTTGTACTTTATCATCCGTTAGCTCTTACGTTAAACCCACTAACCCCCGCTTGTGTGCAATTTGAACTCCATTAAGAACCAAATAGGGGGACTCTAAACTGCGGAAGCAATGGTGCTAAAAGCAGATTTGTACAAACTTAATCACATGAAAACGGATCTATGCTCTAGATCGAACCGATCGATACCCATAGACGAGTCTGCCTAACCTACACTGGCGGTCGCTGCTCGTTTAATCGGCGGACATCAGGTTGCTATTTTTAGCCCATGGATGCGAATATAATCTCGGAGTCCTGACTTAAATAGCTGTACATCATTTCTGCATCAGATGCCGGTATATTCAAGGTGTGTTATCAAAGGTCTAGGTGCATTGGTAAGTTGCAGTTTCACAGTAATGAAATCTGCGTGTTTAAGTGTGAAAATGTGGGAGAAGGCTCCATTTCATTCTTCGATTCACTGATAACGTCGGTTTTCTTCATACTAAACTGGGTCACATTTGGATACACAAAACCTCCCGATTTTTTTCACCCTCAAGAGGATGATGACTCAAAGCAAAATATGTTGCTCGCAGATTTTACTTTGTAAGAGACTGACGAGTGTATGTCAATATTAAGTGCAGCTACAGGATGTTAATGTGTGGTAAGTTTCAAACTTGAAGTGCAATCCTTTTCTTCAGCCGGTCTCTTTCCCCCTCCGGCACCGCTTCCTTGGTCACCTTTACAGTTGTTAATTTCAGCGCCGCTTCCTGTCTTCTGATCCAAGAAATGCCGTCCGATTTATGGTTATTTTTTTTATTTGTACCATTCGTGTTTGGATAGGATGAACTAATTAAAGCTTGCCTTTATTTTATTTATTTATTATTTTTTTTAAAAAATATTTTTACGTGAGATTTCTGACAGGTCATTACTTTTCAAGGTTATGACTTTGAAGTGATATACTAGTGCAAGATTATGAGGTCTGATTTCTAGTCTCAAATAATTGCAATGGGAGAAGACCCCTGGCGTGACTTTCACCTGGATTGCCTAATGACTATTTAATTATATTCATTGCCTGTATTTACTACAAATTGGGGAACCCTTAAAATGTCATTGTATTTTTTTGCAGTGATATTTAACATGCGATGCCTCTGTTTTTCTGCCTTTAATGCTGATGACATATAAAAAGTCACCCAACCCTGGAAAACAAGTTGTGCTTGATTAATCTCAAATCATTACGCATAATGATTCCTCAATCTTGTATTAATTTATGCTACAGGGTGTCATATTGAGTTCAAAGCAACTTGTGATAGATCTTTCATGAACTGCAGACAATTTTTTTCTGGTTTTAATAGAAAAATTTATTTGGTTTTTTTTTTTTGCCTATAACTCCCCATAAGGCCACTTAACTATTTTTTGTCTTATTTACTAACAGCCATTATTATGTGTGAAGTCTCAAAGTTACCCAGCACAGGTCTGCTTAATCACATTCAAATGTCTATATCAACTTGACAAGGATGTACATATAGAGATTTGAAAAGGTATGTTTTGGAGATGAAACCCTGGGTAAAGAAACTAGGTACATAATTCAGCCTATTCTTTAGTTCTGACCCCCCCCCCCAAAAAAAAAAAAAAAAAATAAATAAATAAATAAAATAAAACGGATGGATAAATTAAAAAATACATGCCATTAAGTAAAATTTGATTTCTATGGATGGTTATCTTTAATGATGGAGATGAACCCCTTCAGATTTACCCTTTTGTCTTTTTTTCTGAGCTCATATCAGCTCTCAAGTAAATAACATCTCAAAATGCCATTTCACATCCCATATCCCAGAGAAGCTTAACTTGAGGACTCCTGGCTTCCAGGTTGTTTTTTATTTTAATAAGTCGTATGATTTCTGTATATCCTGGAACAGCCTGTGTGTGTTGCCCCGAGTGGAGGAGATATTTGTGTATTTCCAGTTTCGGCAGAGAGATGCTGACAGTGGCAGTCAGTTCCCTGTAAACTTTGACATGGAGTCCTCCATTAATTAAGGGATCATCACCAAACTGTAATCACTTCAGAGTTAGCCCATGTGTGGCCTCCCTTGAATATCACCAAATTTCGTCTTTAACTCTTTGAGTCAGGCTGGTGACAAACTGTGACAGACAGACAAACAGACAGACCAATGGCGGTGAAAACGTAACTTCCTTGGCGGAGGTAATAACCACCAATTGGCTGGATGTCAGGGTGATGGTAGTCTGCTTTATTCATGTCTCTGAATGTAGATGTGTGAAATGTCAGCTCTTTGTTGGCTACAGACAGTTTAGAAAACATGTAGAATTTGAGGTTGGTCCTCATACTTGATTTTAAGAAACTACTCCAAAATGATGTAGCATCATATATCTCTCATTTCAGAGAACAGAACATATGCAATAGTTAAGATTGAGATCCAGTTTCAGAAATAAGTCGACAAGTCTGTAATAACTGATAAAAAAAAATTGGATATATTCTAAAGGCTACGTAGACAGGTTATTGCACATTGAGGTTGATGGAATCTAGTGCTTAAGAAATATGTCTCTATACATTTGAAATCTGTAATGTATACACACAAAGCTGCGTAAGTACTATACTCGGTACAAATGCACGCACATACACAACATACATAAGCACAGACAAAGAGAAGGTTGAGAGAGAAAATTTAACTCCTACTGATTTAAAGAAACTAACCAGTATAAATCCATATGCAAGCCACTTTGTAGATAGTTATAATATGAAAAGATCAGAAAAGGTCAGCCTTAACTGATGGGTTGATCTGAAAATATTTAAATTGGAAAGCAGTGCTTGCCTTTTACAATTCACACCAACCCAGTACCTGAGATAAACCAGTGAAGTTGAATAGGTTCTGTAAGTACTGCAAACTTGTGTTCTGTTTACATAACCCTGTATGGGCTAATTTCACTTTGGGCAGCACAGGTGTAGCGGACAAGGCAAACAGAGACAAACACTGACAGTCGATTGCAATACACCTCAGCTGCCATTAAATAGCCTTCCTGATGAGAACTGCTTAACTGACTGCTTGATCAGTTCAACTCCTCACTGCCTCTTGGTGTTTGATTTACAAGGTAGGTTTTATATGGGGAAGGAACAGAGAAAGAAAACAAATGCGCCAAAGTGCTGTTTTTCTTAAGCTCTGTGAGATTGTTTGAATGTTAAGTCTGTGGACTGTTAAATACCGAGTTGAAAAGTTCATTTGAATGAACTGTGCTTCACCTAGACCATGTATAATACATTGAAACTTGGTGCATGCTCATATGTAATTTGATTTCAGCAGCATTGCATAATTTTACTGCCAACTGAAAATTACGATGTGTTAAGTGATTGACATTTTGTCAAAATACATGGAATATAATGTTTCCATTTTTTCTGAAGTCAAAATGTTGTTTTAACCTATTGGTAGATGTTTATATATGTTAGCATAGGCCAGTGAAATGCATAGTCACAAAAACATCCGTTAATGTCATGTTTCATTGAGAAAACTGTACCATTTCTCTCTCTCTCTCTTTCTCTCTCTCTCTCTCTCTCTCTCTCTCTCTCACACACACACACACAAACCTTATTTTGCCAATTTTAGTGTAGGTGCATTTGTGAAAGCAAACAAGCAAACAATACAAAAGAAAATAATAAGATGCAACTGATACAACCTGCAATATCAAACTTCTCATTCTGCACTAAGCACATACCAGCATTCTATGCAAAATTAATATATATGTACCTGGACATATTCTTCCCCACCAAGTCAACCGTCATTCACAGAGGAAGCAGCATGTTAGATGTGATTTGATTTACACAGGGAGATATGGTTATTTCTTGATATTTTGGAAAATAAAACGATTAAGGATGTTTCCTTAAACAGCGTTTTGTTAGTATTTGTCAAAGGATTTAGAGGGTCAGAGTAGGGGGTTGAGTAGAAAATAAAAAAAAAAAANCCTAATCTTTTAATAGTCTCTCCGCCTCTCACACGCCTCCCCTCATGTCATCCCTGCGGGGGGACAGTCATTAAATCTCGGCTCCATTGGGACGACACATGGGGAGGCGTGTGAGAGGCGGAGAGACTATTAAAAGATAAGCCAGTTTTTCTTTCATGTACGTCCGCCATATTTAGTCCCCAGGATCTGTAAAGCCTGGCTCAACTCGTTGTGAATGCGATCTTTAACTCTTTGAGTCAGGCTGGTGACAAACAGGCAGACAGACAGACAGACAAACAGACAGACCAATGGCGGTGAAAACAGAACTTCCTTGGCGGAGGTAATAACCACCAATTGGTTAGTTCTCAGGGTGTCACGGTGATGGTAGTCTGCTTTATTGGTGTCTCTGAATATAGACGTGTGAAAATGTCAGCACTGTCTTGGCTACAGACAGTTTAGAATACATACATGTAGAATTTGAGGTTGGTCTTCATACTTGATTTTAAGAAACTACTCCAAAATGATGTAGGATCATATATGCCTCATTCATAGCTTTCAGAGAACAGAACATATGTAATAGTTAAGATTGAGATCCAGTTTCAGAAATAAGTCAACAAATCTGTAATCACTGATAAAAAATTTGGATATATTCTAAAAGCTGATTAGGCCACATAGACAGGTTATTGCACATTGAGGTTGATGGAATCTAGTGCTTAAGAAATATGTCTCTATACACTTGAAATCTGTAATGTATACACAAAGCTGCGTAAGTACTCGGTACTCATGCACGCACACACACAACACACACAAGCACAGACAGAGAGAAGGTCGAGAGAGAAAATTTAACTCCTACTGATTTAAAGAAACTAACCGGTATAAATCCATATGCAAGCCACTTTGTAGATAGTTATAATATGAAAAGATCAGAAAAGGTCAGCCTTAACTGATGGGTTGATCTGAAAATATTTAAATTGGAAAGCAGTGCTTGCCTTTTACAATTCACACCAACCCAGTACCTGAGATAAACCAGTGAAGTTGAATAGGTTCTGTAAGTACTGCAAACTAGTGTTCTGTTTACATAACCCTGTATGGGCTAATTTCACTTTGGGCAGCACAGGTGTAGCGGACAAGGCAAACAGAGACAAACGCTGACAGTCGATTGCAATACACCTCAGCTGCCATTAAATAGCCTTCCTGATGAGAACTGCTTAACTGACTGCTTGATCAGTTCAACTGCTCAATGCCTCTTGGTGTTTGATTTACAAGGTAGGTTTTATATGGGGAAGGAACAGAGAAAGAAAACAAATGCACAAAAGTGCTGTTTTTCTTAAGCTCTGTGAGATTGTTTGAATGTTAAGTCTGTGGACTGTTAAATACCGAGTTGAAAAGTTCATTTGAGTGAACTGTGCTTCACCTAGACCATGTATAATACATTGAAACTTGGTGCATGCTCATATGTAATTTGATTTCAGCAGCATTGCATAATTTGACTGCCAACTGAAAATTACGGATGTGTTAAGTGATTGACATTTTGTCAAAATACTTGGAATATAATGTTTCCATTTTTTTCTGAAGTCAAAATGTTGTTTTAACCTATTGGTGGATGTTTATATATTTTAGCATAGGCCAGCGAAATGCATAGTCACAAAAACATCCTTTAATGTCATGTTTCATTGAGAAAACTGTACCATTTGTTCTCCCTCTCTTCCTTTCACTCTTTCCATTTCTCTCTCTCTCTTTCTTTCTCTCTCTCTCTCTCTCTCTCTCTCACACACACACACACACACACACAAACCCTATTTTGCCAATTTTAGTGTAGGTTCATTTGTGAAAGCAAACAAGCAAACAATACAAAAGAAAATAATAAGATGCAACTGATACAACCTGCAATATCAAACTTCTCATTCTGCACTAAGCACATACCAGCATTCTATGCAAAATTAATATATATGTACCTGGACATATTCTTCCCCACCAAGTCAACCGTCATTCACAGAGGAAGCAGCATGTTAGATGTGATTTGATTTACACAGGGAGATATGGTTATTTCTTGATATTTTGGAAAATAAAACGATTAAGGATGTTTCCTTAAACAGCGTTTTGTTAGTATTTGTCAAAGGATTTAGAGGGTCAGAGTAGGGGGTTGAGTAGAAATTAAAAAAAAAAAAATTTGAGTGTGACTAAGTAAGATTGCAGATCTACAAATCCTTTAAAGGTGAAATATTGGAATTTGCAAGAATTTTTAGATGATGGTACAATGACTCCATCTTTTTAATGCGGAAAATTGTGAATTTTACAGGTACTTTATTTTTTAAGTCATAAATTCTTAAAATTAAATTTTACATTAATATTGACTGGCCACTGAAAATCAGTCTAAGCACCACAAAAATGCTTCACAGAAGTATATTTTAATGACTCTAAAATCATGTTTCCAAAAATGTGATAATTTTTTTCTCAAATGGAAAGATCAGGTAATTACCATAATCGTGGTCTTTGTAAATATTTTCCAAAATTTTGAATTCCAATACTTTCCTAAAGTCATGCATGGTTTTTTGGTCTGTATAAGTTATGGAAAAGAGTATAATAATGAAATGACTCATCTTGTAGGCAATTTACACTTTCTTATTCTTCTAAAACCATCACGTTCAATCTTTTTTCTTCAAGTAAGCTATGATGCAAACAAAGGTATTAAAATGACTCATACTTTTATTAGTTTGTACCCCATTGGCCAAGTATTTTGAGTAAGTTTGCTTAACAAAAAATGTAGGAAGAAGGTGCCTGGGAAAGGTAATTTTGAATATTTATTGTGGGTGAAAAAGATCTGAAACATGGAGAATACTGTTGGAATTCTGCTTCCAAAGAATCTAAATGAAAGCGATCAGCAGCCAAATGCTTATACTTCTCGTAACTCTGGCATTCTGTGATGTGAAACTTAGTTCGAACTAGTGAAGATTCTAGTTAGGCAAGTAAGGCAGTGTTCATGTTAATTTCAGCTATTATAAAAGGAAAAAATCTTTTAAAAATAAAATTTGTCTGAGATAACTGTTATTAATTCAAGCTATAAAATTTAGAGTTATACTGAGACTGCTGATTGTGTGTTTTAATCTTTTCTGTGTACAATTTTTTCTGTCAGTACTGCATATATAGGCATAATCATAGCATATGAATTATCAATTGTTATCATGTATTAAGAATTCTGTAATATTTGCTACCTTGTGAACAATGCAAGTATCTGTATACATACTAGTATATAGAATGTTGTTATAGAAATTACATAACAGTTTGCTCTATTTGTCAAAACATCCACACTGTGGTGTCCTTTATCCACGTAGAACAAGAAATTTCCAGTGACTGGGAGTGGTGGAGATGGGGTCTCTAACAGTAGACATCTGGATAGATACCTGGACAGTTAACAAGAAAGCTTCTGAATGTTTAGTGAGCATGTGAAGGGTTTCCAGCTCTCTCCTTGACACTTGTTCTTTATCTGTATTTTTTCTTGGGATTCCCCTTGTTTTCTAGTATGTGTTTTTATTAAAAATGTGAAATCAACAAATCTGTGCATTCTGAGCATTTTGATTTGACAAATTCATCATAAGAAAGATGTAATCATTTCAATTGATTGTGTTGAAAATAACACAGATTTTCTTCTATTTACAGGAAATAATGTCCTCCTGTAAAACGCTACAAAGTTGAACGAACATTAGGAAAATACAAACAAAATGGCTGCCAGTGAAGATAAGGACAATAACGGGATGGGGGCCCGCTATGATTCTGGCACAGAAGAGGTTAAATTTGATGTTGAATCACCAGCTCGGAATAGATATAAGGGAACCCTCCTAAGTGAGAGACGTCGTAGTCGTTTTCCAGTACTCTTCGAGCGAGCATCCCATTCTTGGTGGAATCCACGTTTTGACTCAGAAGTTCTGGAGGAGCAGGTTGCAAAAAGCTCGTTTCCACAAACTCGCATTCGGTTCCAGTATGCCTGCTTCTACATCATTGCATCTTGCGCTGCCTGGAGTATCTTCTTTGCAGCTAGAGCTGAAGCAAACTGGGTTCCTTTTGTAGTGGGAACATTATCACTACTCCTAATAACTGTGCTGGTTTTGATCTTCAGCTATACCAGGTATTATCAGCGTTTTTGCCTGCCAGTGTCTATATTTATGTCTCTCCTGCTGGTGGCACTGACTCTGGCCAAATTTCAGAACCCCCAGAATGAAACGAATATGTCCGATGTAGGATCTTTCGCGGGGGTCATTGAAATCTTACTGATGATGTACACGGTGATCCCAATGCCCTTGTTTGTGTGTGTCATCATTGGAGTTTTGTTTTCCATCTTGTACGAAGTTCTGCTCAAGATTGTCACTGGTGACGATGAGGAACTGGATTCAGCTGCGCTGATTGTTGGGAAAGTTCTGCTTCATTTTTGTATCCACATCATTGGACTTCACATCTTTATCATGTCTCAGGTGAGAAAGCGAAGCACTTTTTGGAAAGTAGGCCAATCCATCATGGCGAAGCGAGACCTCGAGATTGAAAAGCAGTTGAAGGAAAAGATGATCAACTCCTTAATGCCAGAGACAATTGCCAAGGAGGTGGTGCAGTCGAGAGTGGATGGTAACTCTGATTTTCAGCGGATAATCTTTCGTCCATTCACTATGCACCAGATGAAGTCTGTCAGCATCCTCTTTGCGGACATAGTGGGTTTTACCAAAATGAGCTCCAACAAAACTGCTGAGAAACTGGTGTCTTTGCTGAATAATCTCTTTGGGCGCTTTGATAAAATCTGCTTCAAGACAGGATGCGAGAAGATTTGCACTCTTGGCGATTGCTACTACTGTGTGTCCGGATGCCCAACGCCGCGTCCTGACCATGCGAAGTGCTGCATAGAGATGGGCTTGGGGATGATCAAAGCCATAAAAGAATTCGACGAGGAACACAACGAGGAAGTGAACATGCGTGTTGGCGTGCACACAGGCAAAGTTTTGTGTGGAGTTGTTGGGACGAGCCGCTTCAAATTTGACGTCATGTCAAATGACGTGGACCTGGCCAATGTCATGGAGTCGACAGGGGAGCCTGGCAGAGTTCATATCTCCGCTGAGACATTGGAATATCTCAAGGACCTGTATGAGGTGACAGAGGGCAAGGAAGAGAAAGGTAAGCAATATGCATGAAAGGATGTGGGTGTAGGAAAGTGAATGGATTAAATACATTATTTTTCACAGATAGCTATTTACTGTACATGTCAATACCACAAAAATGACATGTAATAATACTTGTTTACAAATTAGTTACTGTAAAACATTGGCTCATCAACTAAGTTGGTGTGATATAGAAAAGATTGGGAAGAATAAATGATAGCATGGGGGTTGATTTGACAGAATGAGTCTGATGAAGCACCAGTCTCTTAAAAATGGACTGTGGAAAACTAAAATTTTGCAGCAAAAGGATAAAAGGAGAGTGGACATGAAAATACATATTGCCCTGCATTCTAAACCATTTCATAAAGTTTGAATTCAGATGTAAAAAATTACCTGTATCTATCTATCTGTCTAACTATCTATCTATCTATCTATCTATCTATCTATCTATCTATCTGTGTATAAGCAAAAAATGTAAATATTTTATTTGAAAATGACTCATTTCATACCAAATCACCTGCATGAGAGAAAAACAGGTGGGAACACATCAATTATGTATAATGAGCTGTTAATTTCAGCTCTCTGGTTGACTATATTTAAGTTTTAATTTCACTTTGCTGCCAAAACATTCAACTTAAGAGTTCCTTCATGGAGCTATGGTTCAAAAAAGGTAATTAAAAAAAAATAAACGCACAAGATTTTTTCTCCACTTTCAACATTTTTCTTCTACTTACCAACCATCTCTCTGTTGAGGTCCAAATTTCAAAATCCAGAAATCCCTTGTAAATTAACATTTTAAATAGGATATATTTTCCTCTGTTTGGCTCAAGCCAATTTCACAGTTACTATTGCATGCATATCTTGCATTTTCACTTTGCATAAAAATGCAATTGTTTGATCACGGGATCATTGTAATCCCATTGCCGTTTGTCAATAAAAGCACCTTCGAACACAAGTTCAGACTTTGAAATGAAAAGAAGAAAAATTGATGTATTATAAATTAAAGAGTACCCTGTATTCTGCTCCCTAGGTGAATATTTACTGTTTATTATTATTATTTTTCCATAATTTTCCAAGAAGCATTGAAATCTTAATTGCAATATTCTTTGGATTTGAAAAACAAATTTAATCTCTTGGAGATTTAGGGTGCTTTCCCAGAGATTTAGATCGATCTAGAGATTAAGATTTAAATCGACCTAACTCCCTGGGGGTTCACGCTAAATTGCAGTCAGCCGAGCGGGCACCATAGTTAATTACCCCCTTACAGCTTTCAGTAGGCGGGACAGACGCTTAAGCCGGCCAAGCTGACAGTAATCTAGTGAGACTCCCCACGGGGATAGATCGATCTAAAAATCTATGGAAATGGGGTGTTATTTTTGCCATGTTGGCAGTAGGTAATAATTATGAAACGGATTAGATACTGGTGTCAAGATGGAGGCAAAATATACCTGCTTATTTCTTTTTAATTATATCATGTACTAACACCTCAACTAGACATTAACTTCTCAGAGGAAGACTTATAAGACAAAGGTGAAACATTTACCTTCCTCTGAGAAGTTAATTTCTAGATGAGGTGTTAGTGCACGCTTTTCTATAGGAAAACTATTGAAGTCTAGGTGTAAATAATGCTTGAAGGTGATAAAACATTCCAAATGAATGAAAGTAAGTTTTCTTTACGTATACGAAAAATTAGAGGAAACATAAGGCCCCTCAGCTATCTGGACATTTTTGTTCACAAAATGTATATGCTTTAATTTTATGTGTATATATTGTGTTTTATTGAAAATTGTTTTTTTTTTGAACCAGGTTCTTTGTGCACAAATTCATAAAAGGGAAAATACCTCTTGAGACACACTATTTATAACTAGTGATATGAGATATTCTTGTATTACCTGGTCACATTTTTAGGTACCAAAGTTTCAGATATGACAGAAAACCCCCATTTGGATAGTTCATAGCAAAAAAGTTTTAAGTAAAAAATTCCCATGAGTCTGTACAAAGAGAAGAGTTATCATTCACTGTTAATAGATAGCTGATTACATTAGTCTTTGGGATATGCACCCATGAATTTTAATGTAGATTGTTGTCTGGGCTTATCTGTGTAGTGCACAATCCTCAGTAATAAAACTTGAGGTTTTGCAGTCTTTGCCATTTAAATCCTTTCCAGCCTCACTGGTCAGTTAGACCAGTGCACTTTGAAAACTGTACGTACAAACCCAAAGATGAAATCTGNGTTATCATTCACTGTTAATAGATAGCTGATTACATTAGTCTTTGGGATATGCACCCATGAATTTTAATGTAGATTGTTGTCTGGGCTTATCTGTGTAGTGCACAATCCTCAGTAATAAAACTTGAGGTTTTGCAGTCTTTGCCATTTAAATCCTTTCCAGCCTCACTGGTCAGTTAGACCTGTGCACTTTGAAAACTGTACGTACAAACCCAAAGATGAAATCTGTAGGTAACGGAATAATGATCTAAAACAACTGGTGAAATGTCCACTCGTTCAATTAAACAAATAACTTTAAAAATCCAATATGATTTCCTGGTCAGGGGTTAAATCTAGTACAGTAGTCAGTTGCCAAGGTTCGATGGCCAAGGTTTGAGACTGGTTTTTGGTGCATGACTTGGTGGTTGATATCAAAAAGATCTAAGGGAAATGTCAAGTACTTTGCGATTGAACTCTGAGGAAATGGCCGCGATGTTTCTGCGAAGGTTAAAAGGCGAATGATAGTAAATAGGTGCAAGGTTATGGAAAGGTCTGAAGGGATCAACAGATAACAAGGTGCATTGAGGTTGTAAAGTTGGAAAAGTGCAGTGGACAATTTATCTTCGTCTATTTTCTGAAATAAGACTGGACTTGATTGCACTATCCTTTGCTCTGTGTTTGCATGTATTTTTTGTTGAGAGGGGTTCATTGAAGACTGCTCATTTTAAAGTATATTTGTTAGGGATGATAATGGATTAACATTATGTGATGTATTTTTATGAAAAATTTATCCACAATGAAATTATGAATTAAAAAATAGCCCAAAAGGAATAAGTGAATTTAGTGAAAAAAAAAGTAAAAATAAAACAGGCACATGTGCACACAAATTTAATTGCAATAAGGTATTGCCGAGATAACACTGTCCCAAATGGATGTATTATGTGCCTAATGAAAGATAGATGTGCGAGCAGATTGTGTGCTTGTATTCTGTTGCGTTTGGCATAATTTATATATTTAAACTTCATCAAGAGATGAGTTTTGAAGGTTGTCAGGCACGTAGTTGAGCTAATTCATTTATGTACTATACAGATGCCTTTTTAAAATATTTCTGTTTCTTTGTATGGACCTGTTGTCTGTCAATCAATAGAGGATAACTATGATTGTCATGACATTGATTATCTTTGAGTCGCATGTCACATTAAATTTCCATTAACAGACATAATAAGCACAGAAATATATCTAAAAATTTGTGTATGCTTCACTGGAAAAGTGGCCTGTGTAATAATGGGGCACAGGAGTGGCAAAGATCTTTCAGGGGCCAGATATAATATGTGCACTAAGGAGTAATCAAGATGTTTGTGCTCTGGAATGCTATCCAAATTACCTTAACCAGGTTATAATTCCTTATTTCTGAGCAATTAACTTCTGTTTGCATTCAGTGCCAATAGATCTGCAAGCTGTACCTTTTGCTTAGTTAGGTCCATGACTTGGCAATTTACGATGGAATTGAAATTTTTTTAAAACGGATTTTTAAGGATATTTTACAGGCTGATGGTAGATCTTTAATACTGTAGATTAAATCTGGAATTTTTAAACAGATTGTTACCAAAAGCACATAATATTATAGGATAAAAATGGGGTTGTAATAGGATAGTAGCACTAGTTGAACCTGCCTCACACTCTTTCACACACACACACACACACACACACACACACACACACGGTTATATGTTATATCTGTACTATGTAACACTGCTGCATAAAGTGATATAAACATACATAACAACGATAATATGCATACACATACACTATATATATGTGCATATATATGTATAATTACAACATAGTAAAATTTACATACATGCGGCCTGTATTGATTATGCCAGTGAGATCAACCGAGTATCCTAGATGGTCCGGTCAATCTCTGCCCCAGTGTTTAAGAAACAAGATGAAGGCTGACTTAATGCCCATTGATTTTTGTATCAAGGGTTTTCATCTTCAGTGGCCGACTCTTAAGTGTGTGCAGTGTTTTGCGATCAATGATAGGATAGCAGAGGTTTTCTCTTAATGAGGTTCCAGGAATGAAATCAGAGGCTGAAGTGATGAAGTTCAACAGAGTTAAGAGTTTGACTTTTTTTGACTTAAAAAAGAAAAAAACAGACAAGCAAACAAACAAAAACAGATGTTTTTGCAGGTGGGAAGCCCTCTTTAAGGAAAGGAAACAAAAACAAAATGTGCAATCTTTTAAGATACTGGTATAAAAATACATTTTACTATTTATTAACTAAAACCTGATATTATTAGAATTGGAGAAATGGACAATTTTTTCATGAGTTAACATACATTAAAAAAAAAAGATTAATTGATAAAAACAACATTTTAAGTGGCCAAACACATATGCTTTCATAGAAATGATTATAAACAATTTCTGAAATGAACTATTCATCAGTGATATGAACTGCAGTCAAGTGGTCAGAAATAATTATTGAATGGATTTTTTGTCTCTCTTAGACATGTCGTACTTGGGGGAATATTTCAATATTTGATTTTGAAATTGACAGCAGATGGTTGTTTTAAGACTCAGAGATTAAAATCATTGTTCGTTCATTATATTTCCAAACTGATACTTTTTTATGATAATGTAGGAAAAATGAGACAAAGGGATGCATCCTCATGTTTATCTCCATCTTGGAACATTTGATCCTATTTTTCTGCATAGCCGTGTTGTCATCTTATGCGAACAACATCCATAATGCATGCGTAGCACCTAATAGCTCAATTGCAGTCAGTTGAAAGTTGAGACTTGA